ACAGACTTCACATGCGAAATTGCATATGTGGAAGTATAATGTAAGCTACCAAAACCGATCAACGCATCGAAATCGAACGGGCGTGGCGAAATCCGGTCGAATATTCCTAAAACCAGTTTATTGAAAAATACAGGTGACAAGGGAATACTAGGTGCTCTACTCGGAGTTCCTCGATGCAGGACCGAATTGCGCAAGTACACACTCAACACAGGTAAAGTCAACACGCACACACACACACTCAAATCCCAAATCATACATTTACAATTTACTCAAATCAACACAAATTCATACACTCAATATTTACACATTTCACACCCAATTCATACACTCACCATTTACATATTTCATACACACATTAATTACACTCACACACATCACACAAATATGCAACGAACACGATCAGGAGTACGAAAACAAAAAGAACCACCAAAACCACCAGACACGGACACAGAAGAAGAAACATAATCCACAACATTGCACACATCAAAAGTGTCTATCGCTATAGATGGACACTACCAAGGACAAAACAGGAATGGGCCAGCCTCTGACAGAACTCTGCCTCCAAAATCCTGAGATTGTGGTCAGCAAACACATTACACCAATTATTCAAAACATACAAGCACAAAAAGCAAAATCACCACACAGCCTCCACACGAGTCAGAAAGATAATACACAAAATATACTCACCACACATTCAAGACACACCACACACACCCACACACATCACTCTAAAACACACACAAATACTTCATCACACTAATCCCAAAAAAAATTTCCATTCCAAGAAAATTTTACCGTCTTCAATTCAAAAACCATCTTCGGAGACATCCCCCTCAACCTAGAAATGAAACCATCCGAAAACCAAGCCATCCCCTACACAACAGGTCCTATTTCCAGCATAAGAGAATTGATAGAGGACCTGCAACTCATCACAGATCACAGTCACATAACTATATCTAATCGCAAGCCCACATGATACAGATACAAACAACACAACACCAAAAATAATCACCACACTAAAGAAAACACAAATAAAGACGCACATATCCCGTCCATATCCAAAGTATCCACTCCTTACCACGATCCTCCACCCCAAAACTCTCATTCCTACACACTTCTACAAGCACAAAACATACTCTTACCAACACACACTCAATCATCACTATCACCCATATAGTCCCTGACCACATTACAACAAACAACACCTACACAACAGCAAACAATCCACAACACACAATAAACACCCCTTTTCCCACCATCTGTCAGCAAAGACCATCTAATCCATATTTAGATTCAATAAAGGTCTGTCCAATCCAAAAAGCAGCTTTCGTACGAACTACCACTCTTCTATACCTCAAAGATCTTACGGCAAAACTTCGACAAATAACTGAAGATAGTAATATTTCCATAAATTCAAGTTTCAAATCTGAAACCCCAACTAATCCGCAACCCGTTCTAAACATCATTCGTTCATGACGTTCATCAACAAAACTTTCATTTGGTCATTGCCGGCGTCGACAAAAAACTATCTCAAGAAATCATCGAGGATAATCGATCCAAAAACAAATTCCCATTCACACAAAATAGGTCGTATAGTTGCCCGCTCTACAAATCAACCCACCTGGCTCATTAGAGTTTTGATAAGCTCTGAAAATAATTCACTGATGCACTTAACTCTATTAAGACCGAAGGAAAACGATTGAAATGCAAGATTCTAAGATCAAGCAATTCTGTTTCGGTTCGACTAAAATTCTGTTCAAAATGTTGCAAATAAAGTAACTGTGGACAACAACACAGGTCTACTGCATGCCCCACGATAAGTGTTTATAAATGTCCCAACTTTAATGGAGGCCACCCGGCATTTTCACAAAAATTCTCACACAATCCACTTCACATCCATGATCGTCTTCAATCTATTCCCTGAAAAGAGGAGTGGCACAATCCACTATTTAAATTAAATGTCACTTAAAGGTTTAAAGGGAAGGTAAAATAACTTTTACAACTATACTGCATGGCTTTATTGAAAATAACTCAATTTAATTACAATACTATTTCTTTTATATAAAAATTAAATGCTGACAAAACTGTTGATTTGGTTTGCTGACCTCCGGGGTTATTGCACCGTAATTTGTCCAATGCATTGTATGGGTATGCCATATCAACTTCCTGCAACAAAAATTCCATAAAGCAAACCTTCACGCAACTCTAGACATTCATTATTCATATATACACATATCATTTACGCACAAATACACTTTACCTTCACCCAAGCTCACAATCATAAACATACAAACAGCAAAGAAGAAACAAGCCAACAACACCCCGCAAATCGACATACACCAAACACTGAGTACACCGTACACTCTTTAAGGGTCGCATTCAAAATCACAAGAACAGGGAAAGATTGGTTTTCTGTGGTTTCACAATCTCATTGCACAACGATACCTGATCCTAGGTAGGTGAGGACACTTCTTCTTCTCATAGCGCTGTCTCCTTTCGAAGGTTGGCGATCCAAATGGCAATTCTAGCTTTAGAAACTGCTGCGCAAAGATTTTTGCGAATGAGTGGTCGAACCATTTCCTCAGGTCTTTCAGCCATGAGTTCTGGCGTCTTCCTACTGATCTTTTGCCATGTACTTTTTCTTCCAGTTTAACTTGAAGTAATTCATATCTTTCGCCTCTCAACACATGACCCAAGTATTACATTTTCCTCTCTTTGATTATTCTTAGTAATTCTTTTTGTTTGCACATCCGACGAAGTAATTCAACATTAGTAACTCTTTGTACCTATGGAATTCTCAACATTTATCTGTATATATACATCTCAAAGCCATCTATTCTTTTTTCTATTTCAGAGTTTATTGTCCAACTTTCACAGCCATACAGTAAGACAGAAAAAACGTAAGATCGAATCATTCGGATTCTAAGCTGCAGACTAAGGTCTGATTTTGTAAACAATGTTTTCATGTTCATAATGTTTTCCTTGCTTGTTCGATTCTTGATAGGATTTCTTTTTTTGAATTACACTGACTATTGATATTTACTCCCAAATATTTTATGGAATTTACCTGTTTTATTATTTGACCCTTGGCATACACATGTACGTTTATTGGTGTCTTTGAAAATACTAAAGTTTTAGTTTTGGAAACGTTTAGATGTAAACTGAACATTTCGCTGTGGTGAACTACCGCATTTATTATATTTCGTAGTTCTTGCTGATTTGCATTAATCTTAATTCTACCTTGGACCTCGTCTAATGCTTCTCTGAATATAGACTCCGAATACAAATTAAACAATAGCGGTGATAAGACGCAACCCTGTCTCACTCCTCTTTGGATTTGTATATCTTCGGATGTTGTGTGCTCTATTTCAATTGTGGCCGTTTGGTGCAAGTATAGTTCTGAGATAATTCGCAAGTCTTGTTAATCAACTCCAGTGTTCTCAGAATTTCGATCATCTTTTAATGGTTAACGCAGTCAAATGCTTTTCAATAGTGAGGATGGTGAGAACACAGCCACAGCTATTATCCACGCGTTTAAACCGAACAAAACAAAAAGGCCAACAATCTGAAAAGGACCGTTTTTCCAATAGAATTTGTACTTGGTAGCGGGCTTATTCCAACTGGCACCCAAAGGCAGGAAATCCTTCTGACACTACTGTTTTACAGCCACTATAAACCACTTTCAGCGGCAATATGCAAATTGACGATTACCCAATAAAATCCCCCACCCTCGGAGAGGCGACAAAGCCTAAACAATGTAAAAACAGGTATTCACTCAACCAACTCGTTTTATATTCACTGATGAATATAAACATTTCTGAATTCTTAGATCAACATTCAGTATAACAGGTCATCATCATCATTTGGCTCTACAACTCATCTATGTGAGTCTTGGCTGTGTTTACTATTTTTCTCCATTGTTGTCGGTCCTGAGCAGCTATTTCCCATTGCTGTATTCCCATTTTGCGTAGATCTGGCTACTGTGTCCTTCATGGAGATTTTCTCCCCTTTTTAGTAGTTCCGCCTGTATGCCGTCTGGGCCTGGGGCTTTATGGTTTTTTAGGGACAAAATTGCGGACTTTACTTTAGCTAGTCTGGGGCCTGGTATTTCAGGGTCGACTAACAGGTCAGGTTTTTCTGTATTTAAGAGTTGCTCAAAATACTTTCTCCATTGGCGGTTTATCTCATCGTCGTCTGTGAGCAACTGTCCTGCATCGTCTTTTATAAATCTTGGGCTGTTGGTCGTGTTGCCCTTCATTGTTTTTAGTTCCTTATAAAACTGTCTAGACCGACCGGCTCTATTTTCAGTGCAACAGGTGCCTAGACGAAAATAACAAAGTCTATTTTGATGAAATAAAAACAAGAGCTTGTTGATCTAAACATAATTATTACTACTTGCTGATAAACAAAACATCTAGTTCTACCTATTCCTAGTTGATTTTAATCAAAAATAAAAAGACAACTTGTATTAAAAGTAGTCCAGAATGTCGAAGTAAATAACAAACAAGTTCTCCACTTTACGAGAATTTTATAGTAAACCAACTCGTTTTATATTCACGGATAAATATAAAAACATTTCTGAATTCCTAGATCAACATTCAGTGCAACAGGTGCCTAGACAAAAACAAGAAAGTCTATTTTGATGCAATAAAAACAAGAACTTGTTCATCTAAATATAATTACTGGTTGCTGATAAACAAAACATCTAGTTCTACCTATTCCTAGTTGATTTTAATAAAAAATAAAAACACAATAACTTGTATTAAAGTAGTCCAGAATGTCGAAGTAAATAACAAACAAGTTTTCCACTTAACACGATTAATATTGTGGACCAACTCGTTTTATATTTACCGATAAATATATAAACATTTTAACAATGCATTTGGTCGACGATATGGAATCTCAATCGCAATTCAACGAAAATAAAAGTAAAGATTGTTTGTGTATTCTAATGTTTTGATTCAAGTTCACGATCGTGTTTTGGGTTCTATAACGTGTAACGTGGTTCAGGTTCTCGGTTCTCTAGTCCCCACTATTGTCAGCTGATGCGATTTAATTCAGTTGTTTGTGAGTGTTGGTGAGGCCGGTTTGACGATGATAAGATCAACAGTGAGTAAAATTTCATAGTAAATAACAGAAATATATTATGTAGAATAGTCAAGGTCCTTTGATAAAAATAAACTTTCAAAAATTTTATTAGATTTACAGTCAAATTGTTTAACAATATGTTCATAAATATAAAAAGCCCGTGTATAATTCAGCGTAGGGACAAAACTGAGTCAAAGAGGCCTTATTAACTGTGTTTAATGAGGCTATAATAAAAAACTTATTGACGGTATTATTTTGATGGTTTTTTAATGTTCACGAATTTATTTTTAACAACCTTTGAATTAGAATCAAACTTACAATAACCTACTGGATTTTTGATATAATATAATGTCCTTCAGTAGTTATTTTTAATATTATCAATGTTAAAAAACATCGCACAACCGAAATTATGATTTTAATCTTTATTGAAATCTCCTGAGCCCGTGTAAACAGAACTGTTGGTTGTGGCATTTGAAATTTTAATTGATTACAGAAACATGTACAGGTCGTTGAGAAATATAAGATATGGAATTTCAGAAGTTCAAAATATCAACTATGTACGTGGAACAAATACAAAGTCACTTCCAGTGTACTGCCAGATTTTTAAAATTTCGAACACCGTTTGAGTAAAATACGGGATTTGGTGGGAAGGGAAAGGGCATTCTGATAGGAATTCGTGTCGAAACAGTGCTTTTTCAGTTATTTTGAATTGAAAATTGACGTACTTCGTAGTGTAGTTCTGGTTATATCCTCAGAAAATGAGAAGTATCGTGGTACAATACGATTGGGAACGTCTCGTAAATCTTCCTTATCTCCCTCTGTTCTGGTGAAGGAATTACGGTATGAAGATACAGCTCAAGGACTTAATATCTTCTTCTTCTTATGTAGACATGACTGTCTATTTTTTCAATGTGCCTCCAGTAAGTTGACGTTCCATCGTTTTCGTGGTATTCCTACTGATCGTCTTCCTATTGGGAAACCGTCTATTGCCGTCTATACTACTCTATTTGTTGTCATTAGGCTTATACGATCGTTCCATTCTCCTCCTCCTCAATCCTTTAGCCCTTGTCAGGGCGTAGTGACACCCTAAATATTATTAGTCTGCTGTCTCCATTGACTGCGATCTTGTTCCATATGGACGGCTTCATGTAGGGATTTTCCCACCAAACTCTTCATTTGGTCCACCCATCGTATTGGAGATCTTCCTCTTGGTCTTCGGCCTTCTACCTTACCTTCTACTACCATAGTTCCATGGTGCCCGTTCTTCTAGCTATGTGGCCGAAGTAAGTTAGGTATGCTTGGTTTACTTTTTTTAGTAGCCTGTCTTTTATATGAAGCTCTTCCAGAATTGACAGGTTGGTTCTATGTTCTGTCCAGGACACGCGTAGAATTCTTCTATATACCCACATTTCGAAGGCTTCGATCTTAGTCCTATCGATTTTTTTGAGAGTCCATGTTTCAGCTGCATATGGAGCAATGGAAAAATAAGGGCATTGACCAACCTAAGCTTAGTATTCCTTGTTATTGTTCGGTCTTTCCATATTTTAATTAATTTAGCAGTTGCGGTTCGGGCCATTCCTAGTCTACGTTTGATTTCTGAGGAACAATCACCATTGTTGGTTATCAGAGAGCCAAGTATACAAATCTGTCGACTACTTCGAAAATCCCTATTTGGCGTATATGCGGTAGATTATTATTTGCTCTGTCTACAATCATTATTTTTGTTTTTCTGGTGTTGATTTGAAGTCCGAATTCTTCACTTATTCGCCGTTCGATGATGGTAATCATTTCGAATTCATTCGCTGCTAGTATAAGTGTGTCATCTGCGTATCCCAGGTTACTGATTTTTCTGCCTTCTATAGTGATTCCTCCATCCCATTCATCTAGTACTTTTCTCATTATATATTCAGAATATATGTTGTACAATAATGGTGATAGTATGCAACCTTGTCTAGTTCCTTTCTCTGTTTGAATGCATTGAATATATTCCATGTACTTTAACTTTGGCTGAGTTTTTTATTATACAGATTTCTTATTAGGTTAACTAGGTGGTTAGGTACTCCCATATTTTCCATTATACTCCAGAGAGGATCCCATTTTACTGAATCAAAGCCTTTGTGTAATCTACAAAACAGAGCAACATTGATATGTTATGTTCTCTCGCTTTTTCTACTATCTGTCTGGTGTTGAGTATTTGCTCACGCGTTCCTTTCTGGTACAAATCCACATTGTTCTTCGGCTATCTCTGGAAGTAGGAAGTTCTTAGCCGTTCATTGATTATATGTAGCAGGATTTTGCTTGCATGAGGGATAAGGGCAACGGTTCTGTAATTGCTGCATATGGTTAGTGATCCTTTTTTATGGATAGGGATCAAGTTGATTCACACCACTCATCAGGCCATTCACCTGTGATCCATATCATGTTGCACATATCCCGCATTACATCTACGCCAATTTCGCCTATTGCTTTTAGAGTCTCCGCTGTTATGCCATCGATTCCTGGAGTTTTTTTGTTTCTTAGTTGGTTGGTTGGTTCCATTCTACTCTTCTACTTATTACCCAGTTCTTGATGTTCTCCACCTTGTATCTACGTCGCATATCTGTACTTCTAGTTATGTCCCATAGTGTCTTGCCATAAATTTTCCATCTCTGCTGTTTCTAACATTCTTTTTGTCCTCTCTGTGTCATGTCGTGTTTCTGCCGCGTAAGTCATTATTGGTCTGATGACTGATTTGTAAATCCTGCCTTTTATTTCTTTTTGATATTTTTATTTCTCCATATTTTTTCATTCAGGCAACCTCCAGAGCCCTGTTGGCTCTGTTCACTTCATCAAAAAGTGATGAGTGTCTATATTAAATTCACTAGTCTTTTCCAAGATTTTGTCTCAAGACGAAGATCTGATCTATTGGACCTATATGGACTTCTGCCTGCATAAACCACATTGATATCCCCCAACTATTTGTTCCACATATGGTCTCAATCGGTCATACACAATATTTGACAGTATTTTATATGCCACAGTTAGTAGCGTTATTGCCCGGTAGTTTTTACATTGAAGCTGATCTCCCTTTTTATGTAGTGGGATAATTATTCCGGTATTCCAGTCTTGTGGCAGCTGTTTATTATTCCATATGTTCACTATTAGTTCGTGTATAGCATTCAATAGGGAGTATCCGCCTTCCTTTATTAATTCTGCGCTAATGTTGTCTAATCCAGGTGACTTGTTGTTTTTTAGTCTGGTAACTGCTTCTTGCATTTCAGCTACTGAAGGGGGGGGTTGTTTCTCTGGTATCCGTTTTGATCCAGTATAATTCCATTACATAGTGGATCTTGGTTTTTTTCAAACTTCTCTTTGAAGAATTCTGTCCATCTTTGTAGTATTTCACTCTGTTGAGTTACTATATCTCCTTCTTTGTCTCTGCACATCATTGTTCTTGGTTTAAATTCGTTTCTACTTTTGTTAAGTTTTTGGTATCCAAGAGTAAGAATCCAAGTGATTCTGTTGCTGTGTTATTTTATTTTTTGAGTTCTTCCCAGCTTTCCTCAATGTTATCATGATCTAATATTTCTGTTCTCTTGGGTGGGAAGTATTTCAGGATGAAATATATCATATCATACAGGAAAATACATAAGGTACACGTAGTAAGGGACAGACAAAGAACATCATGACTTAAGATAATGTTACGGAAATACGTAATAATCAAAACAGTTACTAACATTGTCTTCATTTAATTAAATATCTTTTAAGTGGTACTTACTAATTCCATTACTAATAATTTTTATATAATTTTTTTCCACATTGTTGTATAAAGTAAAATATGATTTTAACATATTTAATTTGAATTTCAAATAACTTTAAAAATAGCTCAATGTAAAGGTCACGATAAAAAAAGTTTATGAAATTTTATCATCGTTTACCTTTTAATAGGTCAACTTTTTTAATTATTGTACTTTGGTTGGATACAATGGTTTTAAACAATGAGAATTTTAATAAGTACTTTTACTTAATATTTTTTGCCCCACTATTTTTCCTCGTCTTACTAAATGCATTTTTTGAAGGTCTCATTGCGTCAGACAAATACGATAATTTTCTAGTTTTATCACATACATGATTTCGGGAAGACGTCGAATATCTTATCTGAAAACCCTAAGGGAATGGTATAGTTGTAGCTGAAAATAACTTTTTGGTACAGCTATTTCTAAAGTTGTGTTGATCACTAACTTTTGAAAATGGTACTTGAAGAACAATATGATGATTTCTTTATCTTTCTGCTCCTAATTACAACAATCTCTCTTCATATCCGATTCAGCTACCAAAGCTCTGTCAAAAGGCTTCAATTTTTCTGTCACTCCTCTTTCCATTCCAAATGAGAAAATTAATTGTCAAACTGAACAAGCTATTTCCCATCTTCCTTCTGATACAACTGAACTTGCCAGACAAAGTTATCAGAATTCTTCGTACTTCCAAACCCCCACTATCACATATCAGTATTTTAGAAAGACTTGCCCTAAAGGAAGTCTATAACAACCTTGACATTGTCATCCCTCCGACAAATTCAACACTGTCGTCATTCTCAACTCTTTTGTTTCGACAAAATGTTCGCACTTCTCAATTCTACAGAATACAAACGCGTTTCAGACGATCCCATCATATATCTAGAAAAACGACCAAACCCATATTAAATAAGTCCATTCTACCTCCAGAAATAAAAAATCTCTTATACCTAGACAAAAATCATCGTCAGTGTATATAACTACCCCACTCAGAAATTGACAAAACATCTCGCCTTATTCTTACAACCATTAGCCGAAAACGCCTAGTCCTTTGTCAAAAATTCTTACCATTTCATTGATCTTCTACAAGTTAGCTTTGACATTGTTTCTTTATTCACCAATATTCCTGTTGATGAAAAAATTTCTATATTGGAGTCTAAACAACAAATCCCTCAAAACACATTATCTCTTTTAAAACACTACATACTTTTCATTCCAAAATCATTTCGATCGTTCAATGGGATCCCC